ACAGGGTTCACAGGGTTCACAGGGTTTAGGGGTTTTGGGTTTTGGGTTTTGGGGGTTTTGGGTTTGGGGGTTTAGGGTGTAGGGTGAGGGGCCTTTGGGCTGAGAGTTGAGGGTTTAGGGTTTAGGGTTTAGGGTTTAGGGTTTTGTAGTTTTTGTTGGTGTAGGATTTAGTCCAAAGCCGTCTTCCACTGACTAAGGCCTCACTCTAAACCCTATACCCTATGAAGTGCCAAAAGACCCAAATCTCTGAGAACCCAGATCTTCCAATATACCCTGCAGGGTGAGGAGTTTAAGCATATTGAGGATGAGACCGCTTATGTACATATCATGTGTGGGTATGTAAGTAAGTGTGTGTATATGTATATGTATATATATATATATGTATGTACACATTTTATATATATATATATTATGCGCATACACATGCGTACACAGATGCACCTATGTGTATGTGTGGGTGTAGGTGTAGGTGTACGTGTATGTGTCTGTGTCTGTGTATGTGCATGCATGTATGTATGTATGTATGTACGTACGTATGTATGTATGTATGTATGTAAGTATGTATGTATGCATGTATGTATGTATGTATGTAAGTATGTGCGTATGTGCGTATGTGCGCATGTATGTATGAATGTTAAGGTGTATTGATGAATTCCTTTAAACCCTAAACCCTAAACCTTAAGCCCTAAACCCGAATCCCTAATCCCTGAATCCTAAACCCTCTAAGCCCTAAACCCTAAACCCTCTAAGCCCTAAGACAAAAACCAATCCTAATCCCTATAACCCTGAACCCTCTAAACCCTAAGCCCCAAACCCTAAACCCTAAACCCTCTGAGTCCTAAACCCTATTCACAGACGGGGGAAGGCGCAGAGAACGTGAAGAGCGTGAACTGGTTGGCCACCGGTGTCTCCTTCGTTCTCATCCTAGGAGGTGTGAGGGTTTAGGGTTTAGGGTTCCTTTTAGGGCTTCGGGTTTCTGGTTTAGGGCTCCTGTTTTGGGGTTTAAAGTGTAGGGTTTAGGGTTTCTGGTTTAGCGTTCTTTTTTGGGGGTTTAGGGTCTAGGGTTCCTTTTAGGGTTTAGGGTTTCTGGTTTAGGGTTCGGTTTTGGGGGTTTAGGGTTTCGGGTTTAGGGTCTAGGGTTTACGGAAGCCGAAGAAATTTGATTCACTGTTGGGTTCCTGACTCACCAATCAATTACAATGCTATTAGTCCCAAACCCTATTCCAGTTGTTGAGGCTCCCCTAGTTTTCTACTCCGACCCGTGAAGGCTAAACCCTAAGCTGAGCCTCTACTTGAAGAAGTGTCCCTAAACCCTAAACCCTAAACCCTAAACCCTAAGTCTACTGCCCTGAGCCGTGAAGGAGTCGTACTCAAGGGCTTACCTTCTTCCAATCCGCGTGCCGTGGTGTCCACGGCAACCGACGCATCGCTGCTGGAGGACCTGGGGTTTAGGGTTTAGGGTTTAGGGTTTAGGCTGTAGGGTTTAGGGTTTAGGGTTTAGGGTTTAGGGTTTAGGGTTGAAGCTTAACCAGTTTGGGTTTAGCTTAGGGCTTTTTCAGAGTGTCTTCGTGATTTTAATGCTTCCATACGGGTTTTGGGGTTTCTGGAGGGTTTGAGGGTTCAGTAAACCTAAACCGCTACCCCGAAACCCTAAGCCCAGGACGATGGGGCTGGTATCTTATGACCGAGGGTGACGAGCTTGTCCGAAGGCTTCAACAGCAACGGAGTTTCTTGGGCTTCGGGCCTTGCAGGGAATTGTAGGTGATACAAGTTACACTATATTGGGATAGCTCGATGATTAAAAAAACTCGGTTGGGTTTCTTAGGGTCCATGTGCCGCACGGTCGAGCCTAAAGCCTAAACTCTAAGCCTACTCTGGTTCCGACGTCCTTGGAAAGAAGCCAGTGAAAGGCCGAAGCATCTACAACCCGGTTCAGAATTTTGTGCAATGGTTTAGGGTTTACGGGTGCAGTCCCTATACAAGTGTAGTAGACGTTACACCGGGTCCATATTGGTACAAGCAGCCTTTGCGTGGGCTCTCTTCCGATGCACTCACAAGCAGTGTGAAACAACGTCTTCCGACGGACGTTCGCGGTATATGGGAGTTTCAGAGACGAGCCAAACAGACACCCTGAATAACAGGATACGTTTGACAAGAACCCTTCTCAAAAGGAAAAATACCAAATGACAATGAGGAACCCAGAGATTCAAGACACTCCTTTTCTGCACGCGGAATCCGTGAAGTCTTCACCTCCGGGTCTTCGGTCTGAGACGTTGAAACGGTTTAGGGTTTAGGGTAGACGGCCAAAGTGCCCTGCGGCGGCCTGGGCGCCCCGGACTTGCCAACGGACGCAGCAGCAGCGGCAACCAGTGTTGTCATTGTCAAAACCCTGCGACCTACTACGCCGTTTGCGATTGCTGCTTAAGCTGCAACCACTACTACTCCTCCTCCTGCTGCTGCTGCTGCGTACTACTACTACTACTACTACTACTACTACTGCTACTGCTACTACTACTACTACTACTACTACTACTACTACTACTACTAGTACTGCTACTACGACCACTGCCACTACGACCACTACTACTGCGACCACTACTACTACGACCATTACTACTACTACTACTACTACTACTACTACTACCACTACGACTACTACTACTACTACTACTACTACTACTACTACTGCATTGTGCCGGCAATTTCGATCACTAGTTGTTTCACAATCCTGGGTAATCTTGGTTGGTTTAGGTAGTCTTGGGGGGTGCCCAGACAAGCCAAAATGTGGCAATCTTGGTGGGCCAGGGGCGGCAGGATCACCAAACATCCTGCCAACCTTGTAATCTGGGTAATCTTGGTTTGGGCATTTGCTAAGCCAGGGAGGGGGGGGGGGCACGGTAATCGTGCAAGCTTGGTCGGGCCCCCACCCGCCCCCTCGGGCTTAGCAAATGCCCTTGACCAAAAGCCAAGATTACCAAGCTTGCCCTCGCAAGTTTGCCTCCCCTCAAGATTACCAAGATGACCTGTCAATCTTGATCTCCCTGCATCGTCTGGGACAAGCCAAGAGGACGAAGATTGATCGGCAATCTTGACCCCTGCTACTACTACTACTACTACTACTACTACTACTACTGCTACATACATTACTACTACTTGTACTAAAGTACTACTAGTGCTATAGCACTACTACTATAACGACGACGGCTACTACAACAACTATAGTACAACAGCAACTATTTCTGCTGCTGCTGCTGCTGCTGCTGCTACTACTACTACTGCTGCTACTACGTCTACCACTACCACTACCACTAC